TTTGGTATATCCAAAGTCTCTCTCCTTCCACTACTTTCCATGTTTTTTTCAGACTTCAAGAAGTTATTTCTGTCTTTTTTGTTGTTGTTGTTGTTGTTGTTGTTATTTCTGTCTTAACAGGAATAAGATCTTATGGATTTAGGGGCCCCAAATTGAGAATACAGCATTGCACAAGGCATGTAGGACCCTGATTGTCCCCGAACCTACATTATATCATACATTCCATTGAAGAAGTGAATGCCTGCACCTGGGCAGAGAATTGGCACCATTCAAATCGTGTCTTCACAAAACTGCATCTGAACCCTGTGCAGAGCAGATTCCGCAGGGGTCAGAGAGGGGAGACCAGGCCAGGAGGCTGCCTAGGAGGCTGTGGCAATGTCAGGTAGGGGATGATTAAGGCTTGGACCAGGTGGTAACTGTGGATGGACAAGAAGGAGCCAAAATGCAGATACATTTTTAAAGGTAGAGTCAACATAATAATACTGATCTATGAGCAAATATGCTCATAGATTAGATGTTGGATGTGACAGAAAGAAGGGACTGAGAGCTGGGCATGGTGGCTCCCACCTGTAATCCCAGTGGCTTGGGAGGCTTGAGGCAGGAAGATCTCAAGTTTGAGGCTAGCCTCAGCAACTTAGTGAGACCCTGTCTCAAAATGAAAAGAGAAAAGGCTGGGGATGTGCTTAGTGGTTAAATATCCCTGTGTCCAATCCCTGGGAAGGAGAGAAAAAAGTAAGAAAGAAGGAAGGAAAGAAGGAAGCAAGGAAGGAAGGAAGGTAGGAAGGAAGGAAGGAAGGGGAGGACTGATGATCTGCAACGTTCTTGTCTTGAGCAACTATGAAAATTGGAGTTGTCATTTTCTAAGAAGGGGAGAGCATGAGAGAAGCACTTGAGTGGGGTGGAGAGAGAGAGAGAGAGAGAGAGGGAGGAACTTATTTTTAGACCTGTGACATTTGAGATGTCTCTTCTTTTCAAGAGGAAATGTTGAGTCAGTAGCTGGAGATCTGATTCTGGAGTTATATCATTATTATTGCCCGATAAGCCCTTATAAATACGATTACTGGAATAAGCCTCAGTAAATACTTGTACCTACATAGACCCCAATACATTATTATTACAGAAGGCCTCAACTGCCATTATTATCAGAGGAAGCCTCTATAAATACAGTATTGTTTTTTGAGGAGGCTCCAATAAATAATGCATTAGGGAATCAGCTCCTATTCACATAACATTTATTCGCAGAGGCTGTGATAAAAATGCTTATTATTAGAATCCACCTCACTAACTGGTCTCCTGTGGCTGGCACCTGTTTACTAAATGAACTAATGAGTGGGTGAATGAAGAGAAGTCAGGTTCATGAACGGTGCAAGCTCCGAGTGTGGTGTTTCCAGCTGGAGGAGCCCCTGCCAGGGCGGGAGAGGAGACTGGAGGAGCCCACAGGGACTGGGGGAGGCTTGGGAGGGAGGCCGTTTTCTCTCTCACCTTTTCATCGGGTCCTGTGATCTGACACATCCATGACTAACTCCTGGGTGAGACCACGTGATGTATCTCTGTCCCCAAACTTACAGAAATGGAGAGGGCCGGGCCTCCCCTACCTCACACCCACCTACCACACTCACCTCTGCTTCTTTTCACCTCCAAAGATTCACACTGCGGTAGTTTCACGTCAGTTTTATTAGACCCCAAAATGTCACTCTAAAGGATACTGCTTCTCTAACAACGGCCCAGCAGGTTGGGGATTGGGTCACCTCCGCTCCCCGCCGCCAGGCCCTGTTCTTCTTCCTTCCCCTCAGGACACAGGAGTCAGAGGCCCCTTCCCAGAGTCTGGGACTGAGCCCCACATCCCCCCAGGAACCAGGATTTCAGGCCTCCAGACCCTCCTCCTCTCCAGTGACCTCACTGTAACTGGGCTGACGTTGGGCTCAGCGGGGCGTGGACAGGCGCCGGCACTCGTGCATGCGGTAGGCACACATGTAGAAAATCCCTGCAGGAAGGGATCCCAGTGGACCTGCAGACCCCTCCCAAGCCCCCACACTCCTTCCCTCCTTCCCTGGGTGGCCACAGGCCCCAGGCCCCTCAGGCCTGGAGTCTGCCTGCAGATCAGGACTGTGGGGTGCATGGGGAACACCCCAGCATCTCGCCCCCACCCCGAGTGCCCACCCTGCCCCGGACATCGACCTTCCCACCCTGGTACCTGCGAAGAAGGTCATGAGCAGGGCTACCCAGCCCAGGATGTAAGACCAGGAAAAGCGCCAGTCCCCGAAGCGGCGGCCTAGGAAGCTGACCGTGACTCCCGTGTAAATGGCCAAGGCCA